AAGAAGAAGAAAGAAGACCAAAAACCTGCCCTGGTTCCCCTGTATTTGCAAAGACTAGTCAAGTAAGGGATGCCAGCCTCCAGGTGGGACCTGGGGATTCCCTGGAATTACAGGTCTTCTCCAGGCGACAGAGATCAGTTCCTTGGAGAAAATGGATGCTTTGGAGGGTGGACTCTGAGGTCCCTGTCCTCCCCAGGCTCCATCCCCAAATCTTGTGGAGTTTCCCAACCTGGATCTGGCAACTCTATCCCCACATTCCCACCCCCTCATGCTCCCTCTAAGCTGCAGAGTCTTGAGAGCAAAAATTCTACTTTGTGAGCTACTGGCATTCAAGTTGTGACGGAGTGATTTGGCTACCGCATGAGTTAGTTTGCTCTGGAGCCCTCCTTCCGGAGCTAAGACAAAAATGTGCGAGCCGGAGGCTAAAAAAACCCTGTGAGCTAGCTCGCACTGACTCAGCTTAGAGGGAACACTGCCCTCTCCCCCTGGTGGCTGGGGGGGGGACCTGGCAACCCGAGAGTAGTGGGACCTTCCAGGACATGTGGATAGGCCCAGATTGTCCTTGGGATTTTCAAAAATTGGCAGGCACAGGAGTGGCTGTGATGTCACGGAATGTTCATGCGCTTGCGTTTGATTGCCTGCTCTGGGATGGGAAATTGCTGAAGATTTGGAAGTGGAGTTCGGAGAGGGGAGGGAATTCAGTGGGGTCCAGTGCTGTGAGGACCACCCTCCAAAGCAGTCATTTTCTCCCAGGTTATAAGAACATAAGAGAAGCCAATGTTGGACAAGGCCAGTGGCCCATCCAGTCCAACACTCTGCCACACAGTGGCCAAAAAGCTAAAGTGCCCGGAGTGCTTTAACCTTTCTTCATACTGTAAGCCGCCCTGAGCCTGCGTGCGGGGAGGGCGGGGTATAAATAAAATTAAATAAATAAATAAATAAAATAAAGTGTTCCAACACTTTTATCATTCTAGTTGCCCTTTTCTGCACTTTCCCCAATGCTATAATAGCCTTTTTGAGGTGTGGTGACCAGAACTGCACACAATACTCCAAATGAGGTTGCACTATCGATTTATACAGGGGTTCAGTGATGTCTGTCACCTGGAGAGAAACTGTAATTCCTGGTGATCTCCAGGCCCTGCCTGGAGGTTGGCATCCCTACGCAGATGCCCACCATTGACTGTTGACTTGTGGTGCAGGAGAGGTGACCAAGAGGATAAACATACCTGGCTGGGAGGCTCAACTGAAGAGTTCAGGGAAGGGGATAGGGAGTCACCCAGATTTGTAAAGGGGAAACTCCTTGGGTGTTTAGTTTGAAACCGGTTACATTCTGAGTCCTGCCACTGTAGGTCTTCCCCAACACTGCTTTACGGAAATTGCTTTCCTGTGTTGCCAAGCGCGATGTCTTCGTCCAGGACCTCATGAAGAAACACGAGGTGAGAAGTGAACCAAATGGATCAGGAGGCTGGGAAGGGAAGAACTGTCTCTTCCTAGAGGGAGCTCTGCAAACCAGGACTCCTGGGTTCTCTGAACGATAGTCAGTTTTGACCAGTGCTGCTAAATAACCTTATTGATTACCAACAAGAGTCAAGGTGCTGTTCGAGAGACACTTGGTCCTTCCCGGGTGTGTGTGTGTGTGTGAAAATCTGTGTCAGAGCAGACAAAATGGCGGCAAAGTCCTGTGACAGATCTGCTAAGAATGTGGTTGCGGTATGACCAAATTTTATGGAATTGCCGCATCTAGGTTTGCCAACCTCCAGATAGTGGAACTCCAAAAACAACATCTGTGATAAAAATAACGAAGAGTCAATAAAGATAAGTTGCAAAAACATTTACTGAAGTATTTCTGTAGTTCTGTAAGGAATTTCCTTCTGTCATCACTCACACGCTAACGAATAATGCACAATGTGAACATTCGTTTCACAATGGCCCCGTTCACACGAGGCGATTTGGCCCGGGAACGGGACAGTTTGGAGGCGGATCAAAGCAGCGCGATCACACCACAACATCTGGGAAGCGTTCTGCTTCCGCCTCCAAACTGGCCCAAACCCGGGAAGAACCGCCTCAAACTGAACCACCTACCTCGGTGGTTCAAACGGATGAGGCGCTTCTTCCCGGGCGTCTGATCGCCGGCGCTCCCTTGCGCCGGCTCAACCCCGGGCCGGAGCCGAACTGCGCATGCTCCGACATGCGCAGATCGGCCGGCTCCCGGTTAGAGCCGTCTTTTCTCTCCGGCGTTTGATCGCGCCGGGGAGAAAAGGCGGCTCGGCCGGGGGATCCGTGGGATCCCGCTGAGCCGTATCAACGTTGGCGCGGCTTTTAAAAGCCGCGCTTTAAAGGGCTTTTCCCCTGCCGTGTGGCAGGGGCCATTGGGAACCAGCCTAAGCAGGTCTACTCAGAAGTAAGCTCAATTCTATAACAGGTTTGTTTCCAGGAAAGATTTACCCGCCCTACTCAGGCTCCACCTCCAAAATCTCCAGGTATTTCCCAATCCAGAGCTGGTTGCCAGCTCCAGGTTGGGAAACTCCTGGAGATTTGGGGATGGAGCCTGGGGAGGACAGGGACCTCAGTGGGGTACAATGCCACAGAGTCCACCCTCCAAAGCATTTGTTTTCTCCAGGGGAACTGATCTCTGTAGTCTGGCGATGAGTGGTAATTCCAGGGGATCCCCAGGCCCCACCTGGAGGCTGGCATCCCTAACCACATCGGGGCCCAGATTGCACTGAAATGGGAATCCAAGGATCCTTGTTTCAGGGGGGTGGACTAACCATTTAACTCACAGGGAAACTTCCCGTTGGGGCGCTGCCTTAGAAGGCCACTGGTGGCCCGGAGCCAGTGGAGCCCAACCCCAGCAGCTCTGCCTGAGCCTCAGGGGCCCTCTGGCGGAGACCTCTCTTCAGCCATGGCCGTTGGTTCACCTCCCCCACCTGTCTCTTCCTGCACAGCTTCCAGTTTAGGGGATGATGCCTTGGGAGAGCAAATACCCACAGTCAGCCCCACTGAGCTGAGTAGCCCTACACTGCTGGCTTGGAGCTATGGTTCTGAGTTCTCCCAGAATTACAACTGATCTGCAGACTTCAGAGATCAGTCCTGCTGGAGAAAATGGACACTTTGGGAGGTGGACTCTATGGCATTATACCCCATTGAAGCCCCGCCCCAAACCTCGCCCCCCTCAGGCTCCACTAGGGCTGCCAAGTGGGGGGCGGGTAAACCCCCGCTTCGGAGGCCCGATTCCCGCCGCCACGGAATCGGGCCCCGGGGGGAACTCCGCCCCCTGAAGTGCAGCGTGGCTGCCCTGACATGATGATGTCACTTCTGGGTGACATCAACATGTTGGGGACGGAGACACACAACATCCCTGTTTGAGGGTGGGGCTTCCCCCACCAGCTGGGTGGCCGGCGGCAGGCAAAAGCCTGAAAACTCAGGGGATCCTCCGCCTGGTCTGGGGGTTTGACAACCCTAACTGAGAAGCAGGCTTGGGGGTTCATTCGCAGGACAGCAAGTTGAAACCTCTTGTCCGGCTTCAGCACTGATCCACTCTGTCTGTTGTGCCACCCACCTTTTCCTTCACAGGAGTCCGGGCATCTCACGGAAACACGGTTCATGGTGGACCACATGATGCAGTTCCTGTCTGAGCATGCTGCAGACAAGCGGAAAGATCTGGGCTTCTTTCCAGAGCATGTCCACATGGCCATCGTGGACATGTTTATCGGAGGAACAGAGACCACTGCTGCTTTGCTCACATGGGTCGTGGCATTCCTATACACCGTCCCGAGGTAGGCCCGGCACCTTGTGGCCTTTAAGCCGAAGGAGATTCCCCAAAAAATATCTGGCTTGGATATAAGGGCTGGTGGATCTTCATTCCCATTTGTATGTAACGAAGTGAGTTCTGTCTCACAGAAGTTCACACCCCGGGAAAGTTTGTTGGCCTCGAAGGTGCTACCAGACTCAAAACGTTTATTTCTTACAAGTTGTCTGTGTGTGACAACTGACAAACTGAAACAAGAAGGGTCAAATTGGAACATATCTTTTCTTGTCGTTCTTGTCTAACATACAGGGCTGGGACCAGAAGACGTTGCTTTTGTGGTGGCTAGTGTAGGAGCGGTGGGTTTGTTTCAAGAACGTTCACACATCTTGAGAGTTCTAGCCCCTTTCTGTCCCCAACCTGTGCCCTGCTCCCTCCCTACAGATTCAGGAACAAATCCACCATGAGATAATGACTGTCATAGGTCTCGATCGTGACCCTACCTACAGTGACCGGGAGCATTTGCCCTACCTGAGTGCCGCCATCACAGAGTCCTTGCGCCTGCGTCCTTCGGCACCTCTCGCTCTGCCCCATGCGGCCACTCGAGATACCAGGTACCAGGTTTCCTCACTCTCCTTCTCATTCCATCTGAAAGCCTGCTTTTGGAGGGGTGGTGGTGGTATTTTTTGTGTGTGTGTCTGTGTGTGTGTGTGTGAGAGAGAGAGAGAATGCACCTGGAAGTCATGGCAACCTCTGGTGACTGACCCCTACTGGGATCCTGGAGGATATTCAGAGAGGTGGCTGAATAAAGCCTGCCCCTGTCCTCCCGACTGCTGGTATTCCAAGGAGGTCTCCCATCCAAGTACAGAGGAGACCCTGCTTAAGCTTCCAAGATCTGAAAAGATGGGGCTTGCCTGGCCTATCCAGGTCAGGGGCAAAGCCTGCTTTTTCTGAACTGTATCACTTGGGCCAGGGGGGTCCCCAGCCTTTTCGAGTCTTGCGAGATTGGTCCTCCAATCTATGCAGCCTGTTTCACCGACAGGCACGTAGCTATTGTGGAGCTCAGGGGGAGGAGAAGTCGAGGCTCAAGTTCGGGGCCCTGGAAGAAACATTAGGGGGCCAGGCCCCGTGGGCCCCATGTTATCTACGGGCCTGGATGGGCCCATCTACAAAATGGCTGCTGCAGGAGGTGGCGCCAAATAAGAAATGTCAGGGAGTGAGGTAATGCAGAACTCTAATAGTATTTCCTCAGGGACTCAGACAGAAGCTCTGTTTAGCGGGATGCCTTTTAAAACGAACAGAGTGTTGAAAAATATTTTCTTGTCATCGCACACAGTAACACAGGGTAGATCCTTATGCTGTGGGGGCAGCCGCCGCCGAAGCAACTTTTAAAATATTTGCACAGCCCATCACCTCTCCAGCGGCCAATCAGAAGCCCAGCTGGGTATAAAACCCCCAGCTGGCCCCGCCCACTTTCTAAGGACTATTGGTGGGCTCCAGGAAAGGTCTTGGCCGGCACCCTATTGCCCATGGGCAGCACGTTGGGGACCCCTAACTTAGATTTAAGTGGAAAGTCAGCGTTTTCCTCATCACCAGCTAACAGGTTTTTCTAGAGCTCCTCAAGTATCTGTGTGCCTTTTAAACTGTCAATACATTGTTATCGTGAGGTGTAAGAACAGTTTATTAAATTCAGAAATATTTGCTGGCTTATCATCAGGGCTCTTTTTGTAGAAAAAGCCCAGCAGGAACTCATTAGCATAATAGGCCACACCCCTGACAGCACAGCTCATTAGCACATTAGGCCGCACCCCCATGTTACCAGAAGTGTGGTTATCCAGCCACACCCACCTTTTGCTTCTTATTCTGTTTACTTTGTTTGTAGCAGGAACTCCTTTGCATGTTAGGCCACACACCCCTAATGTAGCCAATCCGAATGAGTTTCTGCTGTTGGGTGTGGCCTATTATGCTAATGCGTTCCTGCTGGGCGTGGCCAACTTGGGAGCCAGCCAGAACTCCATTCCTGTGCGTTCCTGCCCAAAAATAGCCCTGCTTATCATGAACTCATCTGTTAAACCAAACAATCCATCCCATAAATGACCCCCTTTAAAGCAACCTGCTAAGCTCACTCATGATATCTACTGGCAGGATATTTTTTAAAAAAAATCAGGATTCTTTCAGTCAGTAGCCTTCAAATTTTTCAGGCTTGGGACCTAACGTAGGGCCTACGGAGGGGCAAGCACGTGACAGGAAGTTGTGTACCATCAGAGTGGTCCGTCCCCCTCCATGATACTTGCAGTCCTCGGTCCCCTAAGGTCAGAATTTCAGGGGGCATTTCTGGCTGCTGCCAGGAGGGGGAGTCAGAGGAGCTGAGCTCCCGTGCACGGAATTTAGACAGGCCCCAAACCATGACACAGCCGGTGGGGGCCCCTGGCCGGTTGGTTGAAGACCACTGCTTGAAGCATCAGAAAGATTATAATGATCTCTGGGACAAAGGCACCCTGAGCCAAGGGCCAATGCTGGGCGTATCACCCTGATTTAGGAGGGGCACCAACCCACCACTGATGCAGACTCTGCATCCCCCACAGAAACAAGATCTCTTTTTTTCCCAAATGGAATTTGCCATGCCACAAAGTTTTAAAAGTTCTGTTTTTAAAACATTCCTAGGTGAAGCGAATCATTGCTGTCGGTGGGTCTGTACACCCACTGGCCCCTCCCTAGTTAGGAACTTGAGCACGGGGAGGGGGGGGGAGAGAAATCTGCAGGCCCCAAATCCCAAGACTCCAAGATGGTAGGCTATTAATCCCGCCTCTCTCTTTCTCTTTCCCGTCTCCTCCCCCAGCCTTTCTGGCTTCCACATCCCAAAGGGCACGACCATCATCCCCAATCTCTATGGGGCCCACCACGATGAAAGCAAATGGGATCGCCCTCAGGAGTTCAGACCAGGTATTGCTACACCGTGTGGGTGCGTTTGTGTTGACTGGGGCCAGAATCGGTGGCAGATGGGAAACTGGGCATCTTTGTCATGCTCAAAATGTAAAACCCGCCATCCACGGTCAGACCAAGTATCTGTCTCAGGGGTCTGCGATATTTATGAATAAAGAGCCAAATGTTATCAAAACTCAGAGCAAAAGGTCAACCAAGAGCCAGAACTGAAATGCAGAAGGAAGTGACATGTCGATTAATAATCTGTAGAGTTCCCATTAATTAAATCTAAATGAATTTGCTAATTACCAGAAGAAGCTGGACTACTAGGATCGTTGGGTGGGGAAGGGCAGGAGACGCGGCCACAAATTGCAGCATGCTTGGGGCAGGGAGGAAAGGGAAAGCCTTCCTCTTCGGGGGAGGCCCCTGCCCAGGATCGTGGCTCCCACGGAAGGCAGAGGACCCCCGGCTTTTGGCAGCCCACCCGACAGCACCCTTGGCAGGGAGGGTTGTCCATGGGCTCTTACATTCCATGTCCCTGGTGACTGAAGGCGTGGCACAGGTGAGCAGTAGCCCGGCTGGCCCCGGCCCCAGAGCTGAGCTCTGTCTGGCCAGGCGGGGCCTGGTGGCCAACAGCAGGAACAGGCAGAGTGGCACGGGACGCTTCCCCAGCAAACGCCCATGGCTAGGCCCATCCTAGCCCTTCCTCCTCTCCTCGCCACTCCCTCCCTCCCTCCCAGTTAGCGATTGGCCCACCCGAAAGCAGAAAGAGCGGCTTAAACATATACCTGAAAGGGAAGGGAAGATTGGGGTGAGGTGGGGGATCAGGGGTGGGGGCACAGCAAATGCAAAAGGGGAACGGTGCGCCCCCTGCTGGCTACAGCCCTGCTTCTAACTCCTCTTCTGACATGACCTGTCTTTGTCTCCCCCTCCCCCTCCCCCTCCCCTGCCTAGAGAGGTTCCTGGAGAGCAGTGCCTTTTCTCATGAGGCCCAGCGCCATCTGGTTCCCTTCAGCTGTGGGGCGCGGGGCTGCCTGGGAGAAGCCTTGGCTCGCATGGAGTTGTTCCTCTTCCTCGCGCACATCTTGAGGGATTTCAAGATGTCGCCCCCGCGGAGTGGATGCCTCCCCGACCTCAGGGGACAGTCTGGAGCCATCGTGCACTGCAAGCCGTTCAGGGTCCGACTGGTGCCCAGAGGGGCTCGCCCTGCAGTGTGAGGACTCCATGCCTTGAGTTGGGGAGGCGCAAGGTCTCTCTTTTCTACCCCGGCTTTCATTTGCAGTATCAAAAGGGCAAATTGTACACAACCCAACTCGGCCTCTACCTCTGCTAGGCTTGCCAACCTCCTGGTGTGGCCTGGAGAGCTCCCAGAATTCCAACTGATCTCCAGAAATCAGTTCCCCCTGGATAGGCTTCCCAAGTCCCCCCGGGGGGCGGGGAAATCCCTGCCCCAGAGGCCCGTTCCCCGCCGCCGGTGGATCGGGCCCCAGGGGGAACCCCACCCCAGCGTGCGTGTCACCAGGAAGTGATGTTATGACGCCGGGCATGCTGGGGGCGGGGCCACGGTCATCCGAGGGAAAACTCTATTGTTTTCCCTCAGATGGTCGTGGCCCCGCCCCTAGCATGCCCAGCGTCATAACGTCACTTCCTGGTGACGTGCGTGTGGCACGCGCACGCTCCAGCCGTGGACCGGGAGTCCCCCGGTAAGTACTTTTTTCAACTTGGCAACCCTACCCCTGGGGGAAACGGGGAGCTTCGGAGAGCGGGCTCTATAACATTAGACCCCACTGAGGTGAGGTCCCTCCCTTCCCCAAAGCTAGTCTTTCCCAGGCTCCACACCCCCTCAAAATCTGCAGGGATTTCCCAATCCAGCATTGGTAACCCTACTCTCAATCTACTTGGAATGCCTAAATTAAGGATTAAAAGGCCTTCTAAGTGAAGATGTCAAAATGCTTTTCATGGCAACAAGTTCTGGCCCTGACCTGGATAGCCCAGGGGAGCCCGATCTCGTCAGATCTCGGAAGCTAAGCAGGGCTGAGCCTGGCAAGGGCTTCGATGACAGACTTCCTTGGGATACCAGCAGTCGGGAGGCAACGGGGGCAGGCTTTATTCAGCCACCTCGCTGAATACCCTCCAGGCCCCCAGTAAGGGTCAGTCACCACTCACCAGCGGTCACCATGACTTCCAGGTGCACACGCACACACACACACGTGCACAAGCATACACACACATGCACAAATTAAAATGGCAACAAGTTCTGTAAAATTAAAGAGATTAAATGAGAACTTTATTGGCACCTCTGTTTCTTTGTCTAAGATCAAGCTGCTTGTTGGGGGGGGAAGAGAGAGGAAAGGCTAAGTTATATTGCAAGATACTGCATACTGAGTGCTGGGAAAATGTGATGCACTGAAAGAAGACATTCCTTAGAGCCAAACATAGTTGTTTGCTTTTAGGAGCTGCGGTGGCTCAAGTGGTTAAGACACTGAACTGCAGGCTGTGGAAGGTCAGTAGTTCAGCAGTTCAAGACCCGAGTGTGCCGCATGACGGGGTGAGCTCCCGTCTCTAGTTCCAGCTCCTGCCAACCTAGCAGTTCGAAAGCAAGAAATTGCAAGTAGATAAATAGGGGCCACTTCGGTGGGAAGGTAATAGCGTTCCATGCGCCTTGGTGTTTAGTCATGCCGGCCACATGACCACGGAAACGTCTTCGGACAGCACTGGCTCTTCGGCTTGGAAACGGAGATGAGCACCGCAACCCTAGAGTTGGATTCGACTGGCTTTTGAGCAAGGGAACCTTTACCTTTTAAAAATATTAAAAATATAGTTTTTGGGGAAAATGCTTTTTGGTTATCTACGCCCATCTCGGGTTACCTGTGACCACACAGCAGCTGTAGGGAATGGCACTGGGCTGAGAATGCTGCTGCGGGGGCCAGAGGAAGGGGTCCTGCCTCCCCCCCCCCAGGCATCCTATACACTGAAACAGTGCTAGAGGAATCCAGGTGAGCAGCTGTGTGGGTCTGAAGCAGTAGAGCAAAGTTTGAGGCCAGTGGCGCCTTTAAGGCCAACAAAGTTTTATTCGAGGTGTGAGCTTCCTAAGGAAGTGTGCCTTGCACACGAAAGCTCATACCTGGAATAAAACTTTGTTGGTCTTAAAGGTGCTCCACTGGACTCAAACTTTGTTCTAGCACTAGAGCAGGGGTGTCAAACATGTGGCCCCCGGAGGGCTTCTATCAGGCCCGCAGTGGAACTGGCTGTCTTCTGCTTCTTCTTCCAGTTCTGCTGCTGCTGCGTCATTGTAGGTTTGCAGCTTACAGATACACACCTGAACAGCATACTCAAGATTGCAACAGCACAGACATTTTGATGCAGTAATTCAGAGCAAGAGGTGTCAGTTATCAGACACTGTCAGATAAACAAAATATTGCAAGAGTGCTAATGTTTTAAGCATGTTTTTATTTTAAGTTAAAAAAAACCTTTGTGTCCTTTATAAAGTTTATCTCTCCGCTACCTGGCATTACATTTTATGACACACATGGCCCGGCCCAACAAGGTCTCATTTATGTCAGATCTGGCCCTCATAACAAATGACTTCGACACCCCAGCACTAGAGGGGATTATTCCCCCCTGCTGTTTCAGCTCAGAAAAAGACTGGAGGGACTCAGAAACCCTTCCTCCCGGTGGTATTCTGAGCACAGACAGGCTCTGTTTTATTTTTAATTAGCAGCCAATCCTGTTGTAAAAACAATACAACGAGCTCTAGACTAGGTCGCGGGCGGCTGTCCATCTGGGGAGGCCGCCAGCCAGCTCCCTCCTCCCTCCTGCCATGGGGCAGGGGGCGCAGGTAGCCCAGGGTGTGGGGAGGACGATGGTGGAGCCCGCCGTGGTGGGCTGGGCTCGCTTACCCCCGGGCCAGGCAGGAGGCACCTGGGGATGCCGCATAGGCACTCCCCCTCCCCCGGCCGCAGTATGCCTGTAAAGGTGCTACCGCTGCCTCGAGTCAGGCTTGGCGTCTTCTGAGTGAACCGCAGCAAACAGGCGAGCGGCGTCACCCGGCCGCCACCACCTCTCTCTCTCTGGCCAGAGCTTCCTGGCCACCCCAAAACAGAATTATATATAAGGAGAGAGAGGTCTTGTCCCCCAGAGTTAAAGCTCATCTCCAGAGTACAGAGGTCAGTTTCCCTGGAGAAGAAGATGGATGCTTTGGAGGATGGGATCTAGGGTACCCCCCGAGGCCCCTGCCCTCCTTCTGCTCCTCCCCCCAAATATCCAGGAGTTTTCCCACCTGGATTTGGCAACCCTACACCCCCCCAGCCCCTCCCGTGGCCAATAGGGACTCAGCAACCTATTGGCAATGCTGAGAACAATCCTGCTGAGAGCCAGTGTGGTGCTGCGGAGGTTGAAGCGCTGGTAGCTTGCTGGGCGATCTTGGGCCAGTCAGATACTCTCTGCCTAACCAGCCTTGCAGGGTTGTTCACCGTGGCGGGACTAATGTGCAGGGGCACCGTGGCAGAATTATTATAAACAGAATTATTATAAGGAGTGATAGGTCTCAAAATACCAGTTGTTTCAGGCCAACACAGCTTGTGATTAAAAACTGCTGTGAGGAGGGGCAGGTCGGTGTTACCGGTGGCTTTCTGGCGTGCAGCAGCAGTGGAAGAAGAACCTGGGACGGGGGAGACCGACGCGAACAGCCCGCTCAGCGCGACGACCCTGCCTAGCTGCCTGGCCCGAGGAGGAGGACGGCCTGCACAGCTGGGAGCACCCCGGGGGTGAAACAGCTGCAGTCTTGGGCTACAAATGGCCTTGAAGCCAAAACCTAGTAGCTGGGGCAGGGAGCATGCGCCTCCTGGGGTCCCACTGCCCTCTTCAAGCGGCGGCGGCAGCAGGACCTAAAGGGGCCAGGTGCGGTCCTTCCTGGGCTTGGCGGGCACCAGCCAGGAGGGGATGGGACTGCCTCCAGCATGGAGCACCGCGGTGGGACTAGTGTGCAGGGGCACTGTGGCAGAATTATTATAAAGAGAATTATTATAAGGAGTGATAATAGGTCTCAAAATGCCAGTTGTTTCAGGCCAACACAGCTTGTGAGCCTGTTATGGACTGTCAAGGGTTGATGCCTAGCAGAGTCTGAGAACATTCGAGTGACAGGTTGTTCAAACAGAATTCTGTTGAGACACTCAGTTAAGAAATTACCTTTGGAAACTGACACTTGAAGAAGAGACCGTTTAGCACTGACTGCAGACGGGAAGATGCTGGAGT